CAGTCGTTTTGCTCGCGAGAGCCTAGGGCAGAATCAGCGTGCCTGCTCGGCGAGGAGCTGGCAGAAGCCGTGAGGCAGTTGGCCGTGGTGCTCGAACAGCTAGGCCTGCATCTGACAGTCAAGCGACGGTTGGGCAAGTCTGCTGCATGAGAGTGAGCCCTGCGAGGCGCGAGTGGCGAGATCGTGGCTTTATCGTTGCCCCGCAGCAGCGCACAGGTGGTGTCGATCCTCGGCGCTTTGCTGGCGGGTGCCGGCTACCTGCCCATGGACGACACGGGGCCAGAGGTGCGAGAGGGCCGGAGAGACGTGCATGAACATGCATGATGCGGGGATGGGTGGGTTTCAAGTGATTACGCGTGCTGAGAGATCTGGACAGGCAAGGAAGAGGCTCGTTCTGGAGGACAGCCGCGCGAAAGTGTTGATCTCCGACGCCAACTCCCAGGCGCGTGCCTTCGCGCTGCCTTGTCGTTGGGTGGCCGATTTGATTTCCCAGCTACTTGTAGTGGCTAGTAGCCAGTTGCAGTTTGCAGGAGTGCAAGCAGCTCGCCGCAGATCTCGGGCTCCACTGGGTGGCGATCTCCTCCTTCGGAAACTTCACGGTGACCGAAGCCCAGCGGGCACCGCTGCAGAGCGGCGCTGGCATCTGTGACACGGGCGACGTGGCCATGCTGATCTACACGTCCGGATCCACCGGTGAGCCCAAGGGCATCGTCTACGACCATCAGCATCTCTTGCACGGTGCGTGGTTCTGGGCAGAGGAGCACGGGATGTCGGAGAGCTCCGTCCAGCTCTTCAAGTCTCCCTACTTCTGGGCAGTCATGGAGTGGGAGGTCTTCCCAGCCCTGATCAGGGGTGGCAAGCTTGTCGTCGCTAGTGCCGATGGCCACAAGAGCCCACAGTACATGGCTCAAACCATCGAGAAGTTCCACGTGGACGTGCTCATGATCACGCCTTCCGTCTTGGACTTGCTCCTGGACGTTGCGCAGGTAGGGGACTGGGATGCAGTTCGATGTACTGAACTGGGGGGTTCAACAAGCGAGTTTCTTCTTCGTTTCGTGCGTGCAAACCCGCTTTGTGCAGGGCTCCTTGAGGGGTCTCCGTGTCATCACGACCGTGGGTGAGCCTTTGACATCGCAGTTGGCCAACCGTGTCGCAGGCAGCCTGCCGGACGGGTTCAAGTGATCTTATGTGAGATTCTGCAAGGCAGTCGCGGCGCAGCATCTCTTTGTGCTGCCCTCCTCCTTGCCAAGGCCACCGTGGGCTGTCAGTGACCCTGCGGAACTTCTACGGCGCATCCGAGAGTTCCTGCAGCTTGGCTGCGGTTGCATTCGAACTTTCGTAGACGCAGCCCGCATGTGCAAGCCGCCGCTGCAGTTCCTGCTGAAGACAAGTCTTCAGCGAGTGTTGGGCGTGAAAGGTAGCTTGAACAATTCCTACATTACAGGCACCGTCTACACGGTGCCCGAGCACGGTGTCGACACGGATCTGTACCCGCGGTTCGTTCCAGCCGGCATTCCGCAGCCTCACGTCAGCGTGCTCCCTGGCTTTGACTCAGAAGACACGTGCAGAGATTTTTTTGGGGTTTTGGGCCCTTAAGGTATTT